TGTGTGTGTGTGTGTGTGTGTGTGTGTGTGGCCAGCTCAGCCCACCAGGGGGGGGGCTGGCTGGCATGTGGTGCTGGGGGATTGAACGGCGGTCCCTGTGCTTTGCTAAGCTTGTTCTAAGTAGGTGCTTTAGACCACTGAGCCATCTCACCAGCCCCACTGGGACATTTTTCAACCTTCTTTGACTCTACTTATCAAGGCCCCAAAACAATGTTGTTGGAAGAATCAGATAATAAGGGGATAGTGTGATATAAAGAGAAAAGTTACAGAATTCGTCTTCACAGAATGAGGGCTTATTGAGGGAAACAGCAAAAATCAGTATTTCATGTCTATGAAACAAGTTTGCTCTTTAACTGTGAGAGGTAAAGAGGCCTCATGAAGATTTCCAAGAATTAGGAACTTTAGGTAAGCTGGTGGGAGGGTGGGGTGCTCAGTGGTAAAGCCCTTGCCTAACATATGAAAGTCCTTAGTTTAATCTCCCAACACAAGAAAGAAAAAGTTCCAAATACGTCTTCATTGAAACCCCTTTTTTTGCTCCCCACTCCACTTCTTCCATTTTATAGACTTCAAGTCCCATAGAAGAGAACTTTGAAGAAATACAAGATGCATATGCCCAACCTCAAGGCTACGGTAAGGCCTAAGATTTCTTTGAGAATCTCTTGCGTTCACTTTCAATTGGATCCCAGATACATTTAGGGCTGTCAGGCTGCTCCTTGTCTCAGTTATTTTACAGGTGAGAAGGCTGAGGCTCAGTGATCTCCCCTAATAATGATGCCCCAGCTCCTCACCAGCTTTGTGACATTGACATGTTGTGTTATGTGTGCTGCTTCATATTTTCTATACATACATTGTAGTACCTGTTTTTTCCACCCCCTAGTCTCACTAGATTTTTATCTCTCTAGTGACACATAGCAGGGACAGCTATCTTTACTGAGAAACCTGAGTAATTTGCTCAAGTCACAGAGGTAGTTATTGAACAACAAAAACCTGAACTTGGTTTCTTTTTCATTCTCTACCTCAGAAGCCAGAGTTTCACTTGTCGTTTTCTTTTCTTTGGCTAGCAACTTATTTTATCACAAAGTTAACAGCCCCAATAGTGCAGATTCAGCTTGATGCTGTCACCTGCTACCCCTACCTACCACCCTTTGGAACTTTTACAGGAGATTTCCTTTGTGTGACATGTTAAAATTAGATCAGGGGTGTGGCACAAGACAACATATAAGTGCTGTGTTGGTTGTCTAACAGACATTTTAATGATTGTGTGCTTTTGTTCTTTTCAGGTATGCATCCATGCTTTTATTAAATCATAGATACCTACCTAAGAGCCTATATAGAAGTTTACAGTAATAATTTCAACATTCTGAACACAGATGCATGGAGGTTCGGAACTTACTCCCTTGCTTTCAGTGCACACTCCAGCTTCCAACTTTTAGCATGTTTCAGACCCCTACTAGAGTTAGGAGCATTTTAAGAGTCTGAAGGCTTTGGGAGGAACAGTTACACGCCCAGTTAGGTACTCAAAGTCCCTAGGGTTTGGCCACCCAGCCTTTCCCATGATCACTTCCTGTGGACTTGGTGTGAACGTGGGTGCTTTATTTGTGGTTGAAGGAGGGTTGGCTAGGATGGAGAAGTGGTAACGTAGATAGGTCAGAAACCCAGGGACAGTTCCATGCAGACATCTGAAGTAAATGAAAGCCTTATATTTCTACCCAGTATCATCCTTTCAGCCTTTTTCACCCCACTCCCACACCGCTTCCACATAGGGCTCTACTATATATTCTCTTCCATGCCCAGAACTGTAACAGGCATGGTACAGGAGGAGGTGTGCTGACTTCTGAGCCCTATTCCACTGACTTTCTGCCTAGCTTTGGGCAGTCACTTGGTCCCAGGGTCCACTCTACCTCATCTGAGTCTACATCTACTCTCTGTTAAGCACCCTGTGGCTCTAGAGTGTGCTTAGTAGGAATTATAGGTGTGTCGTCATTAGGAACCTCTCTAGGTGTGTCATCTTAAGAAATAGGCACCTTAAGAGGAGCCTCAGTATCTCATCACTGGTGGGGTTTCAGTGTTCATTGGAATCAGCTAAGGTAACACTTTTCTGGTGGACCACCTGAGAGCCTGCCAGACACCTCAGGAGGTAGGTAGGAGTGGGGGAGTTGTGATCTTCAGGAATCAGGGTAGAACGCCCCATTTGCCCCCTTATTCTGTGAACTAGGACAGTTCAGTAATGGAGTGAAAACACTAACTTGCTGTCTAAAGAGCATCTTACAGAGAACTGGGGAGAAGTAACCTCTCAGATACTCGATGCCAAGGAGAACTGAAGTCAGTTGATCCAGTTCATTAGCACTCCAGACCCGACTCTCCACTCTATCTTTAGGTGGCCTTTGATCACCAAGAGGCACAGTCAGCACTTTGGGGATTCCTATCTGATGGTCTTTGCTATTTGGAATCTTTAACACCCTCTGATGTCTGTTGACAGAAATTGAGTCAGTTTGCCTTATTTTTTTCTTGTTGAGACAAGGTCTCACAATGTAGTTCAGGCTGACCTTGAGCTCACTTTGATTAAGGTTTATTTGTTGTTTTCAGTGCCAAGGACCAAACCCAGGGCTTCCAGCTTGCCAAGCAAGCATTCTACCAAGCTATATCCCCAGCCCGTTGAGCTCACTGTAGCCTAGGCTGGTCTTAAACTTGTAAAGATCTTCCTGCCTCTGCCTCCCCTGTGCTGGGATTATAGGGGTTCACCACCACACCCAGCTTCTATTGTTTTGTGGTTTTTTGGTTTTGGTTTTGGTTTTGTTTGGGGTTTTTACTATTTTTTCTATTCTCTAAAGAAAGAAAGACAAAGCAACATTTGTTTACAGAAACAGCTGTTTATAACTGAAAGGCTAGTGAATGACTTGATTGTATTCTGAGTGTCAGAATATAGTCCTAAAAAAAAAAAAAAAAAGATATAGTCCTGTCCTCTGAGGAAGGGCAATAAACTTTCAGAGCAAAAACCTCCTCTAAAGTATTAAGTCCAAATCCAATTAGAGAAGCACTTTTTAATCTAGATTTCTCCCTCCAGACCAGACCAAGGGAAATGCAGGGCTGTGTTGGAGAACTTTTCAAAGCATTCAGCCTGCTTTGCACACGTGCCATGGGTTCACCGCTACAGTTCTAGGGGATGGAAATGATAATCCAGTATAAGAAAAATTCCTTATTTCAGGTGAGGAAAAGTTCCAAATGAAAAAAATCCTTGGAAAGAACACTGAGATTTTCACCAGGTTCCAAGCTATTCAAAGGTATGGGGTTTTATCAAAATTTTATTCTCAGTTATACACTCAAAAGAAAGATTAAATGGGGAATGCTATATATTTATGGATTGACTGATTGATTGACTGTCTTCAAATGTATTAGTCACTGTCTTTTTCAAAAATTAACTTTGAGGGGCTGGTGAGATGGCTCAGTGGTCTAAAGCACCTACTTAGAACAAGCTTAGCAAAGCACAGAGACCACGGTTCAATCCCCCAGCACCACATGCCAGCCAGCCCTGCCCCCGGTGGGCTGAGCTGGCCACACACACACACACACACACACACACAAATAAATAAATAAATAAATATTTTTTAAAAATTAACTTTGGGAAGCCTAACTTCGTTACAACTTCTTCAGCAGAATTTGAAGGAGAGTGAAAAGTCACTATCTGATTGAGGTCCTTTGTATTCTGTCCATGTGATTTTTATCATTGGTCTTTGCCCCTCTATTTTGTTTTACCCTTGTAAAATAAGAATAAGAAAAATTACTGTGAAATTTTACAGAGAAGGGGCTGGTGAGATGGCTCAGTGGTCTAAAGCACCTACTTAGAACAAGCTAAGCTAAGCAAAGCACAGGGACCGCGGTTCTATCCCCCAGCACCACATGCCAGCCAGCCGCGCCCCCTGGTGGGCTGAACTGACCACACACACACAAAATAAATAAATAAATAAATAAATAAATAAATAAATATTAAAAAACTTAAAAAAAAATTTTTACAGAGAAATTAAAAGTAGTAGTGTAATATCTAGGCACTTATTTCAGAGAAAGATAGGCTTAACATTTACACAAAACAACTTACATGGTATTTTTTTTTTCAAAATTTTATTGATAAACAGCAATGAGACAGTTTCAAATCAAATCGGAAGTACAGTTTCAACAAATAGTACACTGCATATATTCTTCTTAGTGGTTAATTGCTATACAAGATGCGGACTTGAGATCCTATTTACAAACACCATTAGAACAAATCATTCTATTCATTAAGAGAATGCAACTATATATCTATCCTAACCACTTTGAATACACAGATACAAAATGGACATTCATAGGTATACCCCATTTTTTCTAAGTTCCGTTATTGAATATTATAGGTGTGTATACATGGCATTTATAGCAAATTTATCTACAAAAATCCCAAATGAAGAACCCAGATGCCCTCACCATATAAACGACTATATAAACTGGTACATCAGTACCACAGAGCACCACTCAGAATCAAAAGGAAGGAACTATTGATATTTGCAACAACCTTAATAGATTATTATGTTTAGTGAAGAAAGCAACCCCTAAAACTTTAATTTACTGTATGATTCCATTTATATAACAGTATTGAATTATAAAAATGAAGGACAGATAAGTATATACTGGCTGTAAATGATCAATATAGGGAGGAACTAGAGGAAATGTTGTCAATCTGATCTGTTGTCATGCGAATATATATCCTGATGGTGGTACTGTTCTTGATACTGTTCTTTAGATTTTAAAGACAGAGCCAGGGATGTAGCTCAGTGCACTGTGCCTGCTTGACTAGCATGAGGCTAGCGTGAGTTTGAGTCCCAATACAAAAAAAAAAAAAAAAAGCTAGTGAGGTAGCTTAGCAGTCTAAAGTGCCTACTTAGGCAAGCACAGGGACCACTGTTTAATCGCCAACACTACCTGCTACACCAGCCCCGCCCCCAGAGCAGGCTGAGCCAGCCACCAAAAAAAAGATGTTACTATGGGAAGAAACAAGGTAAATACTGTTTTGAGGTTTTTTGCAACTAGATGTGAATCCACAATTATCTCAAAAAAGTTTAATTACAAATAATAAAATATCTTGCACAGTAATATTCAATAACTCTCCTTTCTGGTCCTGAGTTTCCTTAAGTATAATAATTATAGAGACTGGGTGTGGTGGTACGTGCTTGTAATCCCAGCTCTTGGGAGGCTGTAAACAGGCAGATCGCTACAAGTCGGATCTAATAGTGAGACCCTGAACACCCTATAGACCCTTCCTAAAATACTAAAAAAAAGAAGCTGAAAATAAATTTAGGGGTTGGGGAGATAGCTCAGTAGAATAAGCTCTTGCCTGGCAAGCACAGGGTCCTGAAAAAAAGTATAATAATTATGTCTGGGCTAGGGATTTAGCTCAGTATTAGAGTGCTTGCCTAGCAGGTCCAAGGTCTAATCCCCAGTATGGGGGGTGGGTGGAATATATATATATATATCTTTAGTATCTACCATATGCCAGACACTTTATATTGTCCACTCTATGTGGCAACCCTCTGAGATGTATAGTTATCACCCTTTTGCCAATTATAAAATAAAGTTCAGAGAGTCCATATTTTTTTCTTAAGGTCACACAACTGTTTAGGATAGAGAATATATAATGGACAACCCAAAACTTCAAATTTTAATGGTTCAAAACAACAAAATTTTTACTGTCTGTCCCTTTCTTTCTGTCTTTTTTTTTTTTTTTCAGCGCTTGAATTGACCCCACATTCCCATCCCTTTTCAATATTTTTAGACAGGGTCTTGCTAACTGTCACAGTCATTGGCTGCTTTTAGGGCTGGGCTGACCCTAAGAGAGTATTTATTCAATCTCAGGGAAGAGTTGAGGCCTAGACGTAGCAGAAAACTAGTTAGCAGCACAACCCACACGTTCCACTTCTGAGCTTACTGTTCTCCCCATTGCCTCTTACACTGGCCTGATAAACTGGTTCCCCATGTCAACTTCATATACTATGCTGACAGTGTTTTTCTTTTTTTTTTTTTT